CCACGATGTTTTCCTGGCTGAGGGATTTTCCCTCCCCCAGGACCTCACAGAAATGCTCAGCAAATCTGCGAACCTGTTCCTGGGGGTCGGAGATTGGATCACCGTTTTTTCCCCTAATGATGGTAATAGGTGTGGCGCTGCAGGTTACTTTTTTGATGGAGTTAAATAGAGATTTGTGATAACCGGCCACTGAGGCAGACTCCATCTACTCAGCAACCCGCGACCACCACCCATCATTGCAGCGCCTCACGGCTCTCCGAACCTCCGAGCGAAGGCTGCGGTAAGCCTCCTCATTCTCTAACGTGGGATTCTGTAGCCGATGACAGTGGGCCTGTTGCTTTTTCTCAACCATCCTGAACACCTCCTTTGTCAGCCAGGGTCTCTGGGGAGGTCTGGACCGTGTACCCAAAGCAGCCATTGCAGCTGCATGAGTGACAGTCCTAAACCTCGCCCATTTACCCTCGACATCAGGAGGAGTCGGGGACGATGCCAATCCCAGCCGCAAGCGATGATGTAATTCTCGCTTGCAACTTTCATCAGATAACTGAGACCAGGCCACTTTATGTTGGAATGTGGTCCTGGGTGTACACCCACCACCGGAGTGGAAGAATGGCAGGCGCATCTTACAGATGACTAGTCGATGGTCAGAGGGCAGATCAGCTCCACGGTAGGTCCTGGTGTCACGGACATGGGCTCGCATTCGCTGGTCCGTCACTATGTAGTCCAGCAGATGTTCTTGCTTGGACCCGGCATGCATCCATGATGTTGTGTGGATGCGCCGATGCCGGAACAGCGTGTTGGTAATTACAAGCCCATGGGCTGCACAAAAATCTAGCAGCCTCCTACCGTTGTTATTGAGCTGATCTGGCCCATGCCCTCCAATCACTCCAGACCAGGTGCCAGTATCATGACCAACTCGGGCATTGAAGTCACCCAACATGATGACTCTATCCCGAGGGGCCACTTTAGCCAGCACCTGCGACAGGAGGTCATAGAAGGCATCTGACTCATCGGCTTTGCCTGCATCCCTCCACGGATGTTCATCTTCGGTGGGGGCATAAGTAACCACGACCACCATTCCTCGCCTCCGGTTGATGGGAAGGCGAGCCCAAAGTAGCCTGGGGCTTACAGCTTCCCACACCTCACCGCCACGCTCCCACGCCCCCTTCATTCTTCTGTTCAAAAGAAGACCCACACCCTGTTGTTTGGCAGTCTGCTGCCCGAGTAGAGGACTGTCCACCCCTCATGGTGGCAGGAGCCAGAGCCGGTCCACCGGACCTCCTGAATGCCACATAGATCCAGGCGGTACCGGTCCAGCTCCCGACAGAGGAGTGGCAGCCTCTCCTCTGCAGTGAGCGTTCGAACATTCCACGTGGCCACCCGTAGTGGCTTTTCGTTGTTTCTGGAGTAGCCCCGAGGGTAGGTATTCAATCTCCTGGCTCCGCCAATTGGGGTTTGGCCAGGAGACGTCATAGACGCCTGGCCCCCCGGGGCCTCCGGCACAAGCTTATTAGTTACATATTTCAGTTTAACTCGTGGTTTCGTGGTAATTAATTGAAGGTGGAGGGGTTACCAGCCCCTCGCACCCGTCCAGAGCCCCCGTTTAGCCCCTGTGGTGGACACATATGCCATGAGGGGAGGAGCCAATCAAAATTGGATCTCCCCCCACAGCACTGTCCACGACAGAGTTGCCCGTCCGGCACCGCGAGGAGGTAGGGGGTTGTTTTGCCGGACAGACTCACATACACACACAGAGACTCACACACACACAGACTCACACACACACACAGACTCACACACACACACAGACTCACACACACAGACTCACACACACACACACAGACTCACACACACACAGACTCACACACAGACTCACATACACACACACAGACTCACACACACACACAGACTCACAGACTCACACAGACACACACACACACAGACTCACACACAGACTCACATACACACACACAGACTCACACACACACAGACTCACACACACATACTCACACACACACAGACTCACACACAGACTCACATACACACACAGACTCACACACACACACAGACTCACAGACTCACACAGACACACACACACACAGACTCACACACAGACTCACATACACACAGACTCACAGACTCACACAGACACACACACACAGACTCACACACACATACACACAGACTCACACACACTCACATACGCACAGACTCACAGACTCACACACACACACACAGACTCACAGACTCACACAGACACACACACAGACTCACACACACTCACATACACACAGACTCACAGACTCACACACACACACACAGACTCACACACAGACTCACATACACACAGACTCACAGACTCACACACACACAGACTCACACACACACAGACTCACACACACACAGACTCACACACAGACTCACATACACACAGACTCACAGACTCACACACACACACAGACTCACATTCAGACTCACACACAGACTCACACACACACACAGACTCACACACACTCACATACACACAGACTCACAGACTCACACACACAGACTCACATTCAGACTCACACACAGACTCACCCACACACACAGACTCACACACACACACACACAGACTCACATTCAGACTCACACACAGACTCACATACACACACAGAGTCACACACCGACTCACATTCAGACTCACACACAGACTCACATTCAGACTCACACACAGACTCACATACACACACACACAGACTCACACACACAGACTCACACACAGACTCACATTCAGACTCACACACAGACTCACACACACACAGACTCACACACAGACTCACATTCAGACTCACACACAGACTCACACACACACTGACTCTCACACACACAGACTCACACACACACAGACTCACACACAGACTCACATTCAGACTCACACACAGACTCACACACAACAACAACAACCGTCATTCGCCACTAAGTGGCAGTGACGTCACCACGACGCTTGTGCCAGGCTATGTGCACCCTGAGGCCACGTGAAGTGTCGAACGCCCGCTGGCAGGATGTCACGGGGCAGACCCAGGTGCCACGGGTCGACTGACTGAGATGACTGGCTGATGCACCACCTGTGCCCCCTACTGTGCCAACCTGCTGTGCTTTAGCCACCCGGCGCTCCGCTCGCTGTTGTGAGCGTCGCTCCTCCGCCCTCCGTTGTTGTTGGAGGGCGACTGCCTCCAACTGCCCAGTAGCATCCTTCACGAGCCTCCTCCACAGAGGCCGATCTTGACACCGCTGGTACCAGTCATCGGCAAGTCCACTCAGCTCCACGTCCTCCTGTACCACATCACTCCATCTCTTCTCTAGCCCGTGTCGCGCCCGCTTAGCCCCCTCAATCCGGCCAAACAAAAGCTGTTTCGGCATGCGGTGGCTGGGCATGCGGGCTACATGACCCAGCCATCGCAGCCTTGCCTGCCGGAGGAGCTCACCGATGGGACCCTGCCCAGATCTTTCAAGCATTTGTGAGCTCCTCACACAATTCAGTCTGGTTAAACCCAGGATGGATCGTAGGCAGGCCAGCCTAAATGTTTCTAACCGGCGAAGATGTTCCATTAGGGGGGTCCACGTTTCACAAGCGTAGAGAAGGGAGGGAATGACCGTGGCCGAGAAGACCTGAAGCTTAGTGCGGAGCGACAGACCAGGTAGCTTCCACACAGCGTTACGCAACCGATGAAAAGATATTGCCGCTCGACTGATTCACACACACACAGACTCACACACAGATTCACACACAGACTCACACAAAGAGTCACTCACCGACTCACACAAAGACTTACACAGGTGTAGCTGGTGCAGGTGTCGGTGGTACAGGTGTAGATGGTGGTATAGTTGGTGATGGTACAGGTGTAGGTGGCATTGATGGTATAGGTGGTGTAGGTTGTACAGGTGTAGGTGGTACAGGTGAAGGTGGTGGTGTAGGCGGTGGTGTAGGTGGTGTAGATGGTGGTGTAGGTGGTGTACCTGATACAGGTGTAGGTGGTGCAGGTGGTGTAGGTGGTACAGGTGTAGGTGTTACAGGTGTAGGTGGTGGTGGTGTAGGTGATGTAGGTGCTACAGGTGCAGGTGGTGGTGTTACAGGTGTAGGTGCTACAGGTGTAGTAGGTGGTGTTACAGGTGTAGGTGGTGATGGTGTAGGTGCTACAGGTGTAGGTGGTGCAGGTGGTGTAGGTGTTACAGGTGTAGGTGCTACAGGTGTAGGTGGTGTAGGTGCTACAGGTGTAGGTGGTGGTGTAGGTGCTACAGGTGGTGTAGGTGCTACAGGTGTAGGTGGTGGTGTAGGTGCTACAGGTGTAGGTGGTGGTGTAGGTGCTACAGGTGTAGGTGGTGGTGGTGTTGCTACAGGTGTAGGTGGTGGTGGTGTAGGTGCTACAGGTGTAGGTGCTACAGGTGTAGGTGGTGGTGTAGGTGCTACAGGTGGTGTAGGTGCTACAGGTGTAGGCGCTACAGGTGTAGGTGGTGGTGTTGGTGCTACAGGTGTAGGTGGTAGTGGTGTGGGATGCTACAGGTGTAGGTTGTGGTGGTGGTGGTGCTACAGGTGTAGGTGGTGGTGTAGGTGGTACAGGTGTAGGTGGTGGTGGTGTAGGTGCTACAGGTGGTGTAGGTGCTACAGGTGGTGTAGGTGCTACAGGTGGTGTAGGTGCTACAGGTGTAGGTGCTACAGGTGTAGGTGGTGGTGTTGGTGCTACAGGTGTAGGTGGTGGTGATGCTACAGGTGGTGTATGTGCTACAGGTGGTGTAGGTGCTACAGGTGTAGGTGCTACAGGTGTAGGTGGTGGTGTGGGTGCTACAGGTGTAGGTGGTGGTGGTGTAGGTGCTACAGGTGTAGGTGGTGTAGGTGGTACAGGTGTAGGTGGTGGTGTAGGTGCTACAGGTGGTGTAGGTGCTACAGGTGGTGTAGGTGCTACAGGTGGTGTAGGCGCTACAGGTGTAAGTGATGTCTATCTGTGTGTGTGTGTGTGCAGCTGTTACAGACAGCACAGGACGTGGCTGGCCTACAGCAGGAGCTGGAGGCGATGAAGCCGCAGCTTCTGGAAGCTGCGCGGGAGACGGAGCTCACCATGGAGAAGATTACGGTTGGGGCCACACACAGCCTGCGGATTTAGTGGCAGCACCTATACACCTACACAGCTACACCTATACACCTACACAGCTACACCCATACACCTACACAGCTACACCTATACACCTACACAGCTGCACCCATACACCTACACAGCTACACCCATACACCTACACAGCTACACCTATACACCTACACAGCTACACCTATACACCTACACAGCTACACCTATACACCTACACAGCTACACCCATACACCTACACAGCTACACCTATACACCTACACAGCTACACCCATACACCTACACAGCTACACCCATACACCTACACAGCTACACCTATACACCTACACAGCTACACCTATACACCTACACAGCTACACCTATACACCTACACAGCTACACCTATACACCTACACAGCTACACCTATACACCTACACAGCTACACCTATACACCTACACAGCTACACCTATACACCTACACAGCTACACCTATACACCTACACAGCTACACCTATACACCTACACAGCTACACCTATACACCTACACAGCTACACCTATACACCTACACAGCTACACCCATACACCTACACAGCTACACCCATACACCTACACAGCTGCACCTATACACCTACACAGCTACACCCATACACCTACACAGCTACACCCATACACCTACACAGCTACACCCATACACCTACACAGCTACACCTACACAGCTATACCCATACACCTACACAGCTACACCCATACACCTACACAGCTACACCCATACACCTACACAGCTACACCCATACACCTACACAGCTACACCCATACACCTACACAGCTATACCCATACACCTACACAGCTACACCTATACACCTACACAGCTACACCCATACACCTACACAGCTGCACCTATACACCTACACAGCTGCACCTATACACCTACACAGCTACACCTATACACCTACACAGCTACACCTATACACCTACACAGCTACACCCATACACCTACACAGCTACACCTATACACCTACACAGCTACACCCATACACCTACACAGCTGCACCTATACACCTACACAGCTGCACCTATACACCTACACAGCTACACCCATACACCTACACAGCTACACCTATACACCTACACAGCTACACTTATACACCTACACAGCTACACCCATACACCTACACAGCTACACCTATACACCTACACAGCTACACCCATACACCTACACAGCTACACCTATACACCTACACAGCTACACCTATACACCTACACAGCTACACCCATACACCTACACAGCTACATCCTTACACCTACACAGCTACACCCATACACCTACACAGCTACACCTATACACATACACAGTTACACCTATACACCTACACAGCTACACCTATACACCTACACAGCTACACCCATACACCTACACAGCTACACCCAGACACCTACACAGTTACACCTATACACCTACACAGCTACACCTATACACCTACACAGCTACACCAATACACCTACACTGCTACACCCATACACCTACACAGCTACACCCATACACCTACACAGCTACACCTATACACCTACACAGCTACACCTATACACCTACACAGCTACACACCTACACAGCTACACCTATACACCTACACAACTACACCTATACACCTACACAGCTACACCTATACACCTACACAGCTACACCCATACACCTACACAGCTACACCCATACACCTACACAGCTACACCCATACACCTACACAGCTACACCCATACACCTACACAGCTACACCTATACACCTACACAGCTACACCCATACACCTACACAGCTACACCCATACACCTACACAGCCACACCCATACACCTACACAGCTACACCTATACACCTACACAGCTACACCTATACACCTACACAGCTACACCTATACACCTACACAGCTACACCTATACACCTACACAGCTACACCCATACACCTACACAGCTACACCCATACACCTACACAGTTACACCTATACACCTACACAGCTACACCTATACACCTACACAGCTACACCAATACACCTACACAGCTACACCTATACACCTACACAGCTACACCCATACACCTACACAGCTACACCTATACACCTACACAGCTACACCCATACACCTACACAGCTACAACTATACACCTACACAGCTACACCTATACACCTACACAGCTACACCCATACACCTACACAGCTACACCTATACATCTACACAGCTACACCTATACACCTACACAGCTACACCTATACACCTACACAGCTACACTCATACACCTACACAGCTACACCTATACACCTACACAGCTACACCCATACACCTACACAGCTACACCTATACACCTACACAGCTACACCTATACACCTACACAGCTACACCTATACACCTACACAGCTACACCCATACACCTACACAGCTGCACCTATACACCTACACAGCTACACCTATACACCTACACAGCTACACCTATACACCTACACAGCTACACCCATACACCTACACAGCTACACCTACACAGCTACACCCATACACCTACACAGCTACACCTATACACCTACACAGCTACACCTATACACCTACACAGCTACACCCATACACCTACACAGCTGCACCCATACACCTACACAGCTACACCTATACACCTACACAGCTACACCCATACACCTCCACAGCTACACCTATACACCTACACAGCTACACCCATACACCTACACAGCTACACCTATACACCTACACAGCTACACCTATACACCTACACAGCTACACCTATACACCTACACAGTTACACCTATACACCTACACAGCTACACCTATACACCTACACAGCTACACACATACACCTACACAGCTACACCCATACACCTACACAGCTACACCTATACACCTACACAGCTACACCTATACACCTACGCAGCTACACCCATACACCTACACAACTACACCTGTACACCTACACAGCTACACCTATACACCTACACCTATACACCTACACAGCTACACCTATACACCTACACAGCTACACCTATACACCTACACAGCTACACCCATACACCTACACAGCTACACCTATACACCTACACAGCTACACCCATACACCTACACAGCTACACCTATACACCTACACAGCTACACCTATACACCTACACAGCTACATCCTTACACCTGCACAGCTACACCCATACACCTATACACCTACACCTATACACCTACACAGCTACACCTATACACCTACACAGCTACACCTATACACCTACACAGCTACACCCATACACCTACACAGCTACACCTATACACCTACACAGCTACACCCATACACCTACACAGCTACACTTATACACCTACACAGCTACACCTATACACCTACACAGCTACATCCTTACACCTGCACAGCTACACCCATACACCTACACAGCTACACCTATACACCTACACAGCTACACCTATACACCTACACAGCTGCACCTATACACCTACACAGCTACACCTATACACCTACACAGCTACACCTATACACCTACACAGCTACACCCATACACCTACACAGCTACACCTATACACCTACACAGCTACACCCATACACCTACACAGCTACACCCATACACCTACACAGCTACACCCATACACCTACACAGTTACACCTATACACCTACACAGCTACACCTATACACCTACACAGCTACACCTATACACCTACACAGCTACACCTATACACCTACACTGCTACATCCTTACACCTACACAGCTACACCTATACACCTACACAGCTACATCCTTACACCTACACAGCTACACCCATGCACCTACACAGCTACACCCATACACCTACACAGCTACACCCATACACCTACACAGCTACACCCATACACCTACACAGCTACACCTATACACCTACACAGCTACACCCATACACATACACAGCTACACCCACACACCTGCACAGCTACACCTATACACCTACACAGCTACACCCATGCACCTACACAGCTACACCTATACACCTACACAGCTACACCTATACACCTACACAGCTACACCTATACACCTACACAGCTACACCCATACACCTACACAGCTACACCTATACACCTACACAGATACACCTATACACCTACACAGCTACACCTATACACCTACACAGCTACACCCATACACCTACACAGCTACACCCATACACCTACACAGCTACACCCATACACCTACACAGCTACACCTATACACCTACACAGCTACACCCATACACCTACACAGCTACACCCATACACCTACACAGCTACACCTTTACACCTACACAGCTACACCCATACACCTACACAGCTACACCCATACACCTACACAGCTACACCCATACACCTACACAGCTACATCCTTACACCTACACAGCTACACCCATACACCTACACAGTTACACCTATACACCTACACAGCTACACATATACACCTACACAGCTACACCTATACACCTACACAGCTACACCTATACACCTAAACAGCTACACCCATACACCTACACAGCTGCACCTATACACCTACACAGCTACACCTATACACCTACACAGCTACACCTATACACCTACACAGCTACACCTATACACCTACACAGCTACACCCATACACCTACACAGCTACATCCTTACACCTACACAGCTACACCCATACACCTACACAGCTACACCTATACACCTACACAGCTACACCTATACACCTACACAGCTACACCCATACACCTACACAGCTACACCCATACACCTACACAGTTACACCTATACACCTACACAGCTACACCTATACACCTACACAGCTACACCAATACACCTACACAGCTACACCTATACACCTACACAGCTACACCCATACACCTACACAGCTACACCTATACACCTACACAGCTACACCCATACACCTACACAGCTACAACTATACACCTACACAGCTACACCTATACACCTACACAGCTACACCCATACACCTACACAGCTACACCTATACATCTACACAGCTA